CTGTCTTTTATTGATCTAAACAGAACACCCACACTCACACCCTCAAACGCAGAATGAAAATTGAGTATACGTAAATTTTCTATACTTTGCACTTCTGCTCTAATATTTATAAATACTATTATAGACACTCACTTAGACGTTCAAAAGTGACATTATTGATGCCAGACACAATAATTGAGAATTTTCCTGTTACATTTGGACTACACGTTGTTACAACCAGTATATTCGCAGTGGTAGACCATAGTAAAGTTCTCATATTAAACTGATGTTTACCGCAACTGTTATCATCTTGCATAATTAAATTTGTAAATGGATCGGATGGATAAAAACTCTCGGTATACATGTAGCCATATATATCGACACTACTATTGCTACTGAGACTATAAGAGCGACTTTCATGGACACTCACTTGTATGACTTCATAGTAATACTTCGAAAGATCACAACCAGTGCGAGAATATGTCGAATGTTTTTCTGTTAATACGGATGAATAGATTGATTGAACTATGGATGAATTATCTATTGAACAAAAATAAATGAATTAAAATTTGTAAAACATAAAATAAATTTCAATTATTTTCAATATATGCTTCCATGCGCGACTCTTTCATATGTAAACAATAACTATTATTTACATACTGCGTTTAACGGTGAAACAAAAGAGAACATACGATTGTTCAATATTATCTATAATCGACACTATTGGATGTATTTTCTTTCTTTGCCTCATATTAAAATATAATATAAATGTCTAAGTAGTACAGAATCTAATAACATCAAGAGAGTAGATGGCTGTAGTGTGGATTTGAATTATTTTTTTAAGCTTACCACAAGAATTTAATATGAAATCAAATTTTTGAATGCGATTATTAAGTGCATCAGTAATAAATATGTTTCCATAACTATCGAAACTAAGAGTTATTGGATTTGATAATTGATAGGATTGTGATCCTTCTCTACCACATCCAATTATACATCGAATATCATTTGATCGTGATCTAATTATACGATGATTATTTCGATCGACAATAAAAAGATATTTATCAGCATCTAGTACAATTCCAGATGGACATAAAAGTGAAATAATACTATTTGATGATCCTTGTCCAACTATTGTTGTTCCATTTAATTCTCCGGATTCAAATAGTTGAATTCGATCATTGAAACAATCTGCCACATATAAATCAAAGTTTATGTCAACAAAGATTCCCAAAGGATTCCAAAGTTCATTTGCAGCAGATCCTTGAGTGCCTGATCCAGCTGCAGTTATTGATATCATTTCACTATCATTTAACCATCTTTTGATAACTTGATGTTGAGAATACATTGAACAATATAGAGTATCATTAGTATCAATAAAGAGACCATAACATGGTGAATCAATATTCATGACATTAACAAAAGTATTTGTATGTAATATCCATTTATCGGCTCGACCATTCCTTTCACCATTATCATAATAAATATCACCATTATTTGTAACGAAAATGGATGCTGAATCAAAGAAATTACCAGAAATAATTTTGTTTGGATTGATGCTATTGTTAATCCACATTAAGATTTGTGTCTTGTCTCGATTAACTGTATAAATTGTGTTGTTAGTATTGATAAAAAGAGTGTAAGTATACCGTCCAACAATTGTTTTATTAGTAAAAGTAATTCCAAAAGGATTCCAAACTGCTGTTGGACAAAATTTTGGTTGATTAAATGAAAGCGCTAAAATAAAAAATATCCTCGAAATAATTTGTCTCTTTAAACAAATATTTTCTTTATAGAATATCTTAAGGGTGTGGGT